AAAATTACCACATACCAGCTAGGGTTTTTTTTTTTTTTTTTTTTTTAGGAAACCAACACACAGGGTTATTTATTTATTTATTATTATTATCATATAGTAAACCACTTCAGATGCCAATAACTTTGAAAATTAAATATTTATTCATATGTAAACTTTTTATTTTTTATTTTTTGAAAGGTAGATTTAAATTTATAGACAAGGATAATTATAGGTAGGGGCCCAAAGTAGGCCCAATGATAATTAAGGTAAGGAAAAGGCCCATAGGCTCAATGCCACAATACAATCACTATTGTACTCAAACAACCATATGACCGTTACATATCCAATTGGAGCAAGGAGGAGCTCTCCATCATTCACCACGGTCAAGGGGTTTCGCCGGCGGGCGGATGATCGATGGAGGTAGATCCTATTCCTGAATAATCCGGCTGGAGTTTCTTGAGGCGTTAATGGTAGGGTTGCAATTCGAGCGGGTTGGGCGAGTTTAAAGTATAACATGAGTCCAACCCACCATATGAAATGTTAAACCCAAGCTCAACCCTAACCCTAGCATCAATCTTAACTATTCAACTCAAACTTAATCCATCATTCTATTTTTAAATTCGAGCTTGTAACTCGGGCTTAGATTCTGGGTAAAAATTTCAGATTAATACGGGTTACTCATATGGCTAATCCTTACACCGAAAATTTAATATGATCTTGAATTAGTTTGAGATTAAATTACTCTTAAACAAGAAAAAGTTTAAAGATTTTTTTTGTAGATTTTTAATAAATTACAAACAAATTTTTAAAAAATTAATTTTCGTAAATGTTAACATACAATAAGTTAAGATTTAATAAAAAAAGTTGAAAAGAAAAAAAAGTAATCATACTTTAAATATTATATACAATGTATTTAAAAGTAAATATATATATATATATATATATATATATATATATGAAAATAATATTAAAATTCGGGTTTGGGTTAACTCGGGTTGCTAGCACTTCAACCCAAGTCCAATCCTAATTAAATTCGGATTGAGATTTTTCAACCCAAGTCCAACCCTAATTGTAAAAATGATTGCCCAAGCCCGTAAAAAATCGGGTTGGGCTCGGGTTGGGTTCGGGTTACCAAACCCAAGTTGCACCCCTAGTTGATGGTTGAGGATAGAAGTTTCTGTTGAAAAATAAACTTGATTTTAATATTTTGTATTTTTAAGTATTCGGTATGCACGATGCATGTATGCATTTACCATATTGGTGTTATAAGGTAATTGTCTTAAGTGGGAATTAGTGTGATTGTGGAAGTTATGCAAACCAAGAGACATGAAAGTTACGAGACTAGTAATGGTCATGTTAGGGGGAGTTAGTAATGTAGTTAGACATTTAAATATAATAATGGGTAAAGTGCATTAAACCTCCCTAAACTATTGGGGTGTGTGCAAGAAACCCCCTTGAACTATAAAAGTTGCAAAAAACCCCTCTGAATTATTGGGGTATGTGCAAGAAACCCCCATAAACTATTGGGGTATGTGCAACAAACCCCCCTAAACTATATATTTTTTTGCAGTTTACCCCATCGCCGTCACCGCCTTGCCCGCCGTTCAGCTCACCTTGCTCGTCAGTCCATTCCACTGTCTATTCCAAGCTCGCTAGCCCATTCCACCATCTCCATAACTGAGCACACTACCGTCCGTGTTTCGAGCACACAGCCGTCCACAGTTCACCGCCGAGCCCCCTTGAGCTCGCTGCCGCCTCCACAGTTCACGGCCGAGTCAACCGAGCTCTCATCACGGCTGAGTCCTCTGCGCACAAGCCGCCATCATCCGAGACCGAGCCATCCCGCCGACCTCGGATTTCTTTGGTCTCTTCTCTCTTTCTCTCTAGCTCTCTGTTTTGGGTTATATTGGGTGAAAAACATCTTTTGGCAGGAAAAAAAATGTAAGAAGTGTATAAGTTAAAACGACGCAGTGTGTTATAAGGGTAAACTGGTCTTTCAAAATTTTCGGTGCCGGAAGCTGATGTCATGGGGGTAAATTGCAACAAAATCATAGTTCAGGGGGGTAAATTGCAACAAAATCATAATTCAAGGGGGTTTCTTACAAATGACCAATAGTTCAAGAGGGTAAATTGCAACAAAATCATAGTTCAGGGAGGTGTTTTGTAGTTCAGGGGGGTTTCCTGCAAATGACCAATAGTTCAAGGGAGTTTAATACACTTTACCCTATAATAATTACACATATGTTTGTGAGACCTATCTCTATATATATATTTATAATCGTGTACTCTAATTATTTTAGAAAGTAGAATAAAAGGAGATCTAAGTGAAATAAAATATTTCTTCCACCATTTCTCTTTCAAAGTTGCATTTGTTTGTAAAATCCACTTCTTTCTAAAAGGTTCAACCTTATGATGCTATTTATCACTCAACTCAACCCTGCTCTCTTTATCCATCTTTCTTCTCCTTTTTGCTCTTTTTCTTAATTGTTCAATCTTTCTTTCTTCTTTTTGTTTCTTCTTCTTCTTGGTTAATAATCAGAAGAACAAAAATAAGATCAAGGATGAACAGAACAAGAAAGCAACAACAGACATGGCGTTGTGCAAGTTGGTGAATCTGAGATTAGTTTTGCTACGTTCTTCTCCCCTTTCTTTTGTTGAATTAATAGGATTCCGCTTTAATAATTTTTACACACACATATAGACATGTATGGAAACAATTTTTCGGTAAGCTATTTTTCCTCATCTTTCTAAGTTGTTGATTTAATATGATTCCATGAATAAAAATTATAACTTAATTGTTTAATGTTCGATTTTTATATGGTGAAAAGTTTGTTCCTTTGATGTCATGGACTATTACCAGTCTCGTGGGCCGTGGAAATTCTAGATAAGAGAGAGAGAAACAGGAGTCTGTGTGATGTGTGTGTGTGTCCAGAATGCATGAAAAAGAAAGTAGGAGGGCATCTCCATTCAATAAGAAATTCTGTATTGAGAAGGATTTGTAAGGGAAGATCTGATGAAGAAGAAGTTAGTGTGTGTGTGTGTGTATTTAAGGAGAGTCCACTAATGAGATTTTTGGTATCTGAAATGGGAAATAGGAAATACTCTCTCTTTATTTTTTATTTTAAGATTGTATTTAAGGCTCTATTTTGAATGCTTTAAAATGAATGGATTTTGGTTTACTTATCTAAGGAGTACCAAAAGTTTGTCTAACTAGCTACTACAATAATGAAAAAGCATTATGCCAAAAACACCAAAAAAGAAATCCAAAAAAAAAAAAAAAATTGCAATCCATATTTTTCATCTAATTTGAAATTATGAAATTGTCACACACAGCTAGTCTTCAAGTCACAATTTAATATCTGTGTTTGTGTGGCAGTTTCTCGTTTGGCATTAACATCTCTTGTTTACAACATTTGGGCAGAATGAAACCGTGGGGTATTCAAGAAGAAGAAGTTAACAGCAAACTCAATTCTATACAAAATACTTGAGTCAATTTGATTCAAATTGATGGCTGAACCTTCACTTGATTCCCCAATCAACAGACGCACGCATTGTATGCGGATGGGACATACCTTGGTCCATCCTCCGTTTCCCTCCAAGACCACCTGGCTAGGAATGAAATGGTGAAGCTCTCCGTTTCCATATCTGTTTGCTTCACCCAGTCGCTTCAATGGCTGTCTCACCGGATCTGAGAATAACTGTCATGTATATGTACTCCGGAATGTATTAGTCATGGTTTGGTTATCTTTGTAAAATGGTTTAAGATTCTGCCTCTGTTTGATTGTTCTTGCTGGGTAATAGGGAAGGGTAGAATTATAAGTGATAATGACAGTGGTGCTTCCGTTGGCTTGGGATTAATTTCTTGGAGTGTTACCTAAGTATTCGTCTTTGTTGGACATGTATAGTTTTAGATATACATCAGCAAAAATAAATAAATTCTACTTATGAGAGTTACTTTAAAAAAAAAAAAAAAAAAAAAAAAAAAGAACGTCGACAACTTTTTTATAATATATTTTCCAAATTTGGGCTTTCAAATCAATTACATCCTACTGCATGAAACATTCTATAATCATGCACAATTAAAATTTTGTAGTTTGCATAGATTTATATAACATAAAACAAGAAAAAGGGAAGGGAAAAAATATTTAAATTGCTCTATGTGGCAACTCGAAGCGACACAAGGGGCACATGTGACTCCTTTTGAGCCACTCCAAAATGCAGACCGGATGGTATGTATGAGAACATGGCATGCGAGTCACTTCCGACCCAATAAACATATCATCTCTGCATATGACACACACTTTCCCTCTATCACTATTCTCTTCAAATTTGATTGTCTCCAATCCCTCGATAGATGATGTACTTGCAGGCACTAATCTATCATATCCCAAGTACTCTCTCATAGTCCGATCCATCAATGACAAGAGCAAGTTTCTTTCATATCTTTGGTCTAAGCGAGCTTTCTTTGGTGCAGTGTTCCTCACTCTCATTGCTATTTCTTTCCATATGCCATCAAATTCCATACCAGGCCGCACCCTTACGATCCAGGAAACAAATTTGTGAAGTTCCAGCACACGTTTTTCCATCTCCTTTGCGCGGTCCATTGCTTGGATCTCCTGACTAGGCAAAATCACTATTTTCTCAATGTTGATGTTCAAAACTAGTATTTTTCGGCCACAGTTTGAGAATTTAGTGACTGTCCAACGAGCATCATCCATGACTGTACTGACAAGATCGTCGAGCTTGTCAAGCTCATGCACTGTTTCGTGGTCATGATATGGTCTGTATTGAAATCCCTCTAATGGGAATGGTACGTTCATTCCAGAAATCATTTCGGATATCATATCAGAGGTTAGGGTTTCGCTTGGAAACTGCTTTGAGATTTGTGCGATGAGGTCTCGTCTGGTGTTGGTTTTGAAGGATCCATCCGAAGAGATATATGTTTTTTCCACTTTAAAATCTAGAGACAGTTGAATAGAAGGCAGTGATTGATCATTCCTTCCGCTAATAAGACCTAGACTCTTAACCTGCAACTTTGTTGCATCCATTAGGGGATAACTAAGAGGGACAGGTGGTGTGTGATAATACTAGTTACTACTTAGTGGATCGAGAGAGAGAGAGAGAGGGTGATGACAGTAGCTAATTATAGAAGGAAGACTGATATTTAGTTCGTAGGTCATAGATCATATATATATATAGAAGGAACAGTATTTGAGTAGGAATAGGATAAAAGTGGATTTCGATTTGGATTTGGAAGCACTTGGGTACTAAACAGCATGCGTGTACTAAAGGCTTATGAAAGAATCCTAACTCTTTTAGGAGTGCGACTCTGATTTGGAAAGTTATAAAAAAATAAAAAAATAATTCTCAAATGGAAATCGAAGAAAATCCACCGACTTGACGAGTCCATCGTCAACCGAATCGCCGCCGGTGAGGTCATCCAGCGGCCCGTCTCCGCCGTCAAAGAGCTCGTCGAGAACAGCCTCGACGCCCACTCCACCTCCATCAACGTCACCGTCAAGGACGGTGGCCTCAAACTCATCCAAGTCTCCGACGACGGCCACGGAATGCGAGTAACCCCTTACTCTCTCATCTTCTCCCAATTCACTACACTAGATACATATATACATATAGAGAGATTGATTCTGGAATTTATTGTCGTAGTGATTATTGTTGTTGGTTTTGATTAGTATGAGGATTTACCGATACTCTGCGAGAGGCATACGACTTCCAAGTTGTCTACATTTGAAGATTTACAGTCGATTAAGTCGATGGGGTTCAGAGGAGAGGCGTTGGCCAGCATGACCTATGTTGGTCATGTTACCGTCACTACCATTACCAAAGGCCAATTGCATGGTTATAGGTATGAATTGTGGGCCCCGCCTGTTCGATTGAAGATTCACATAAAGCTGTTTTTACTCTTATAACTTTGGTTGTGATGTACAAATATAACTGTGGATGAAGGTTACATATATTACGTACAAGTTACAATTCTCCCAAGAAAGGGGAAAAAGAAATATTGGATGTGACTTTGTGTATCTATATTTTTAGGGATCTGTTGTGTCATCTATCTTGCATTTGGCTTCAATTCTGTTTTATGGAAATTGTAATTTTTTTTTCTTTCTTTTTATTGTTTGTGTGCTTTTTGTTTTAGGCCTTTCTTTGCATATGATTTTGCCACATGCATTGTCTCTGGCATGCATATTTATATATTTCTGAAAGTGGAAATGTGTTGTTCAGGGTATCATACAGAGATGGTGTGATGGAGCATGAACCAAAAGCATGTGCTGCTGTAAAGGGAACTCAGATAATGGTATGGACTGGATCTTTTGCCTTTCTCAACAAATATGAGAAAATCATTGCATTAGAATAATTGTGGATGGGTTAGGAAAATGTGAAAAACAATTGTAGGGGATTAAGTACTGAAGTTTGAGACTGAGAAAACCGACGACGCCCAATAAATTTAACAATAAGGAAAGAGAAAAACAAAGCTGCGGAGAAAGGAAACTAATATTTTATGATTGTAGAATTATTTGGAGTAGTTCACGACTTCCCCCAAAAATATGAGAATTATAAATATTTTTGGGAAATTCATTGGTCATTGTGTTATTTGAATTGTAGGATACACTGTAAGTTTTATGAGACAAGTATAATTTACAAAAATTTTTTGCTCTAATCTATTTGTCTTGGATGTTGTCGTTTTTTATCAGATTGAGAATTTGTTTTATAACATGACTGCTCGGAGAAAAATACTTCAGAACTCTGCTGATGATTATCCTAAAATTGTAGATATCCTTAGCAGGTTTGCCATTCATCACATAAATGCTAGCTTCTCCTGTAGAAAGGTTTGTCTTTTCACCATTCATGCTCGTCTTTATCATGTTGTAAACTTTTCTTTCTCTCCTAACTTCTTTAACCTGATGAGAAATATTTCTTCATATTACTCTTCCATTGTATGCAGCATGGAGCTGCTAGAGCAGATGTTCACTCAGTTGCCACGTCCTCAAGGCTTGGTGCGATCAGATCTGTTTATGGGGTGTCAGTTGCTCGCAATCTGATGAAAATAGAAGTTTGTGATGATGATCCATCTACTTCAGTATTTGAAATGGATGGTTTCATCTCCAATTCTAATTATGCTGCGAAGAAGATAACAATGGTACTTTTTATCGATGGTATGTATCAGCAATATTATACTGGGATAAGATTTTTAATTTTGTGGTCTGTTTTTTCCCCCTAAATGGAATTGTATTAAAAAGAAAACAAAAAAGTACAGGAGGAGAAGTGAGGGCCTACCCTCACATTACAAAACTCCATTTCCAGTAAACATAGAACAAGAAAATAAGAGAAGACATCAAAATAAAAAGCATTACATCCCATGCCAATCAGAAATCGAAATTCCTGCAATATAAAAAAATCCCAAATTACCTTTGTTGCCGCAGCTGAAGCAAAAGATATTGATCTCTGATGAAGTGCCAAGTTCCTAGCCTTCCAAATGCCCCAAACTGCACTAGTGAACACCATTCTACAAATATGATTCTTCTGAGATTTATCTTTGAAAAGCATTGACTCCCCACTGAATCAACCGACCAAAGGTGGAGCTGGAGGGATAGACCCTCCAATACAAGCCACGATACACTGTCATACTTCTTGGGCAAAAATGCATTGCCAAAAAAACTCTATAACTGTCATGAATGGATAATATGTTTTGTTTGTTTGTTTTGTAAATATAACTCTATAACTCTCATGAATGGATATGTGGTCATAATCAAACCAATGTGCTGAATATTTAATTACCACACCATCCTTTTATAACATATTCAATCATTCTGTTATTTTATTTTATTTATTTATTATTTTTCTTTTTACCAAGTACATTGCCGACCCCTCCTGAAATGAAATCCTGGCTCCGTCTCTATGGGTCACATCTCGTTCTCCATCAAGACTAGTAATGCTCAGAGTGTAAAATTTTAGGGAATTTGGAAGATGTTCATAAGTTGTCTTATCAAAAAGGGAACATGTTAATAAGATTGGTGTAAATGAAATGTGGGTGTTGAGATGGACGTGTAGCAAGATAACAAATGTTTCGGATACAATCACAGAAAGTTAGAAGTAGAACCAATTGATGGTGAAGTGAAAGCAATTGGCCTAGAATCAAGATGGTTTTGCCATGCATTATTGCAACCAATGAGGGCACTATGAAGCAAGAGTGAAATGTCCATGCCATAAATGTGTTTCTAGGATAAGGACATGGTGGCTCAGAGCAACTGAAACGTTGGAGCTGGATAGAGTGGAATGCTGAAGCATAAGTCATATGGTTAACCCCAAATGTTTGGAAGAAGACTTTAGTTCTAAGTGGAACAGGACCAATTATCTATAACTTGAGCCTAGTTCGAGTTTGTTGTGGGCTTGGACTAATATTTATATACTTGGTTTGGGCTTGGGCTGAGGCTACAAAACCTTGACTGACGTGCTTGAAGCTTATTATTTTAAATTATCTGTGTGAACATGTGAAGGTTTTATGCATGTAAAATAAGAATAATTTTATTGCTTATGCATTTGTGTAGACAATGTGTTACCGAGGGGTACTACTTGGTAGAGGTCGCCTAGATTGCTTAACTTCATCAAGTATACCTTGAAATGAAATGCCAACTAACTGTATTTGAAAAAAGAACCAGTAATATTCTCTGCTGTTCTTTTTATTATTGATTGTTTTGTACTGGAATTTTTTATCTATTTAAGTTCGAGTGTTAATTAGAACATTGTATGTGGATATGCAGGTAAGTCTTTTGAATCAGGAAGTTATTATTGAAAAGATACAGTCTGCCGTTGAATCAAAATTGAGAAACTCCAATGATGCAAGGACATTTCAGGAACAGGTAATTTGCAAACTTGGTGTATGAGCTCAAGTAGATACTTTTCAGCATTTGATAAGAAATTTTTTGGTTCTTTAAACTCAATAAACAGTTTGATTACTGCCCCTTGTATTACCTTAATGAGCTTTATGTAGGAGGGTATAATAACAGAGAGAGGGCACAAGTCATTCATGTTTCCTTCCATAGGACATGCTAGATTTTCTGGCGTTCCAAGTTTTGGTTTCTACGTTCTGTATCTCTTTTTGTACCTAAATGTTCCATACTCTAGTTTACAATGATCTTATTACAAAATGCTGTATGATGGTGCAAAAGCACCAAAATAACCTACACTTACTACAACAAATCTGGGTTCTTGCCACGAAATTTTTTGCCACGCATAAATTTTCGTGGCAAAATGTAGTGTTTTGCCACAAAATTAAATTCTTGTGGCTAGATTTTTGTATTTGCCACGGAGTAAATTTTTCGTTTTTGCCACGGATATTAAGGACGACCTAAAAATTTGTGGCAAAATGTCAATTTTGCCACGACAAATTAGGGACGACATACGAAATTGTGGCAAAATGCTATCCTTGCCACGAATTTTTATTCGTGGCAATTGTAATTTCTTTTGCCACGAATATAATTCTATGGCAAATCACTTTGCTATTTGCCATAATGTTATTCTCGTGGCAAAAATGCTTTTTTGGCACGAATTATTTTCCTTGTGGCTAAAAGATTGATTTTACCACAAATTATAATTTGTGGCTATAATATGCTTTTTTGCTGCGGAACTATTTTCGTGGCAAATCTATTAGTAATTCGCAACAATGCTTTATTCGTGGCAAAATCGTATATTTTGCCACGAATTTTTAGCCATTATGGCGAAATGTCTTTTTTGCAACAAATTCGTTTTCGTGGCAATTAGGAACTCTTTTGCCACATAGTTCATATCTTTGTTGACTATTTTTATTTATTTTTAATTCCTTACATAAGGATTCTAGAAATACTAAATCCCCACCTAAATAAGTCAATTAATTGTTGATAAAACTCCAAAATTGCATTTTCTTAAATTTCACTCTTTTTAAATTCCACTCCTTGTCATTCAAAAAATAAAAAAAGGTAAACATTCTTATATTGAATTTAGATTAATCATTATATAAATCCATAATGCAATATTATTGAATAAGTAAAACGTAAAAGGTAGAATAAAAAAATATAGATCATATATCAAATCTTGAATAAACTTACAACTACAAAATTTTAATTCTATTTAGTAAGGGTATAAAAAAAAAAAATTTAATGAGTTGGGATTTAAATGGAAAAAAAATATCTTAAAAATAGGACTTGAATGAAATTTTTTCTTTTAATTACTAATAATTTCATGATTTTAATTCTTAATTAGAGATATAAATCCATTAATATAAACAAATAATGGAACATAGTAATCCCACCTATGTCCTTTTTAGTCATTAATCAAGGTAAAATGGCACAATAATATAACTTTTCTAATAGATGACTAATAAACTTAAATTGGTGTCATTGAGAAGAAAATTTAAGGGTACTCTATTAGACATAATTAATTCAACAAAACTAAATGTAAGTAGAAACATTAATAAATCAAATGTAACATAGTAATTCCATTTATGGTCATTTGACTTAATTTTATTGATCGATCAATGTAAAAGGGAATAATAAAGCTTTTTTTTTTAGGGATATTGAATGATACTAGATCTTGTTGCCAGTTGTTATCTTTTTGGCGACAAATCTCTATCTTGTCTCGAATTGTGAATCTTTTTGTGACGACATTGATTTGTTGCCAAAAAAAACTTATTTTTGCAACCAAAATATTTGTTTCTGTTGCAAAAAACTTATTAGTTATACTTCTATTTCGATTAAAGGGAAGGAAGCAACCAAAATATTTGTTTCTATTGCAAAAAACTTATTACTTATACTTATATTTCGATCAAAGGGAAGGAAGAGATGTGGAGGGAATATACGACCAAAAAAAACAATTTTTATTCATTCAATAGAGAGGAGACGATTAAAGAGATAATAATAAGAGGGAATATTCATCCTTACTCATTTACATATGTTAAACCATTGAGGGAAGACAAGTGGAGTTATTATAGAAGTTTTAAATTACTATATTATAGATAGTAGTACTACTGCCACAATATAACATTTTGCACGGTTGTGTAGTTTTGGTCTATAGAGGTCGGGTTACAATTGTGTATATATATGTTGTTGAAAATGGGGCATACAAAATAAAAAATTTGGATGAAATTTGGAGTAGGTTTTGCTAAAAAAATTTTGCGGATCTATAGATAAACACGTTCCTCTCCGCAAAGAGATAAATATGGTATATTTACTTTCTTAAATTCGTTTCCGGGTGAATCAGAAATTAGCTCCAAAGTAAGGTGTTTGATAAGCCTAAATGGGTATGCAAAATGTCGGAAGTACTTGTCCCACATGGAAAAAATGATGAAACTAATTGAAGTTTAAATAAGCCAAGTTTAGGATTTAGGTCTGGGACTAAGGGCACCCAAGTTTTTAAGAGAGGGAGAACTTAGGCAAGCTTGGATCCAAACCATTTACAACATATGCACACGTGCGCCCCGTTTACCCGGTCCGGTCTGGTCTAGTCCGATTAATTTTTTATTAAACGAAATTGGCCTGTGTTGGACTTAATTTAATTTTTCACTTGGCTTATTTAAATTGGTGCCAGTACGTGCATCAAAGAGTTGCACCTGGTTCAAACCAGTGCTTCAGTTTGAATTTGAATTGAACAAGTTTTATCCAAAACGTTGCATGTGGTTCTATTTGAATGAAGCATTATGTCCCATGGTTGCACCCACTCGAAAAGGTACCTTGTTTCCTATAAATACTCCCCTTGGGATCATTTGCAAAACACGCCAAAATTCAAAATACTTCTCTTCTTCTGAATTTTCCTCTTCCTCCTTAATTCTCTCTTCTTGCATACTTGCTTACATATTCCTCCTTAATTCTCTCTTCTTGCATACTTGCTTACATAGAGCATAGTGTGAGTTTGAGTCCGGTCTATAGGAGAGTGCCCATTTTTTCGGTTTGCAGTGGTGCTACAGAAGAAAGAAAGGTTGTTACATCCTGGCAAGGGCGAATCCAGAAATTATCAATGGGGTGGGCTAAAATTAAATATAAATTTAATAACACAATTTCTTAAGCAAATTTTTTTATTAGGGCTTGTTTGGTTTGGACCTTTATTTTAGTATTGTGGCAAAATTGACTTGGGCTTGTTTGGGTGGACTAATACTAATAATAAAATATATATATTTTTGGGCTAGGTTAAAAAAAAAAATAAAAAAAATAAAAAATAATAACAATAAAAAAAAAAAAAAAATTTTTGGGGGTGGGCTGGAGTCCCAGCCCTACCCTAGATACGCCCGTGCATCTTGGGACATAGATGTCACTGAGTTGTAAACACCATAATAGGGCGAATCTGTTTTAAGGAGACACCACAAGAAAAATGATTTTTAACCACAAATTTTTTTTACCACAGTTCCGCATAAACAGTGGTAGAAGATCATTTTTACCACGGTTTATCCTCATGGTAAAAATACAATTTTCTACCACTGAGCTAGACTATGGTAAAAAGTTAAAAAAAATTTCAAGCTTTTTGGCGGGTGTTATTTTTTTTTTGGGAAGATTTTTTGGGCGGGTGTTCTTCCCGCTAACATTTTTAGTAAAAAATAAAAAATTCATATTCAATAGCCAAAACCACACACCCAGACAAAACCATACACCCCAAACAGAAAAGAGACACTTCTGGCCGGATTGAAGCCCTAACCTGTGAAAATGTTTTCCCCTCTTTCCATCAAGCCATAACCTCTCTCTCCTTGACGCTCTTTCATTTGACCATTGAAGCAAACCCTAACCCCTAAATGATAACACACGGCTCAAACATGAAACCCTAAGTCTGGAATCCTCCATTGGAGACGCGAAGGTGTGTTCGGCTATTTGCAGACGGCCGCTGCCGCTAGGTTTGTTTCCAATCTATTCCTTTCTCTATTTATACACGTATATATGTGTGTGTGTTTGTTAGCAAAACCTGGTCGATTAAAGTCGATTAAAATCGATACATCAATTTTGATTCTTATTTTTCTGATTTTAGGATCAATATACGAACTGATCTTATGAAATAGTAGCCCACCACTTTTAGATCTCAGTTGGAAGACTTTGCTGGCAAATATAAGGTATTCAATTCTTTTCATTTTATTTTCTTTGTTCTTTATCAGTAAATTAATTAGTATTTATTTGGTGTTTCTCATAGTATTTAATTAGGAACTTTGAATTGAAGCTGGTGAATGGGAATGTGAGTTTGACTTTTTAAAGAAATTGGTTAATATGAATTTGTGGAAGTTGGACACTGTTAATTCTTTTTACATTAACTCAAGGTTTGGAAATGTGTCTTGGAACTTTGGTAAATTTCCTAACTTTGCTGAACTGTCCAAATACATGAATTTCTTGTTAAAAAAAAGGGAAGGAAAACACAGAGTAAATAGAATGAACATTTCAAATACCTCCATTGTTCAAATAATTGGATTAATCACTAATTAATCCAAATTTCATGTGAATCTGGGTTTACAAGAAGAGAGATACAGAGGAGGAAAAAGGGTAAAAACAAAAAACTAATAAATTAGAGATATGGGTTTATCAGAAAGAGAGAGATTAGATACTAAAGCCAAGAGTACAATGGTGGATTTATCATAAGAGAAATAAAGAAAGATTGACCAAAAAGATTACGTACATAAGTAAAAAATTAAATCAAGCTTAAGGGTAAATCCATGTCTTGGCAAAAACCCATGAAAGCTAAAACTGGGATAAGAGAGTGATAGACTGAAGTTAACAACAAATAAGAAATTTAGATTCAAAGAGATGTTTGTTAGAGAGATTGTGGAATGTTTTTGTTTCAGTTTGATATTTAAAATTGACGCTTTTTGTTTTTTCTTTTATGGAAAGATCAGATTTTTCTGATTAGTGGAAGGTGTCGTAAGAGGTTTTGGTTCTTATTGTTTAGAAGAGGCTTACTAATTGAACGCTAGGCACCTTGCGATATGAGAAATTAGTATCTTGAGTATTCACCTGGATGTACCATGTTATATATGTTCCAAATTTCTAATCAGTAAATATAGTGTGGGGTAAATTTTGGTACCAGTGTCCCTTATATTGGAATAGTGGTGAATGGGGCAAAATTTGGGAACTGGTCCCCAGATTCTAACCACACTTTTAAGTCCATAAGAATCAGTAGAATAGGAGTAGCAACATTTATTCATTTAGCAATCAATATTGCAGGTATAATTCAATGTATGGTCTTCACATTAATATCATAAACAGAGATATAAATGTGTCATTTCAGTACTCTTTACTTCTTTTAATGGCTTGATTTGTTGTTAATTAACCAACGTGCATGGCAAGGTGAGGCACAGAAAAAGTATTAATTACTTAATAAAAATATAACGTTAGCATAATCTAACAATGACGTAATCGCTACTTTTAGTACTTAATAATTAAATGAATCAACTAATGGAAACTAAGTATGTACCTCTCTGTATTTGGCTAATGTGAATGTCGATCTATTCTGATTCTTATATGTTTATATAGGAGATATTAGGCCTAACACAGTTTTGATTGATTTGGCATCTGTTGGCATGCTATGATATTCTTTTTTTATTAATACCATCCTAACACAATCTTCAATTATATCTGTTGTCATCACACTTGCAATACAAAATAAACAAACGAAAATCTCAAAATACTATAATTTTCACACGTGGGATCACATAAGCAACTTGTGTTCTTTTGAAATTGACACTCTAAAATTATTTTACTTGTTTCTGCACTCTGATAATTTTCTCCTCTAAGGGTTGTGTTCTCTCAATTTCAAATGCATGGTAATGTGATGTGACCAAAAAAAAAAAAAAAAAAAAAAAAAAAAAAAATGAAAAAAGAAAAAAGAAGAAGATGGTAGCAGAGCACATAGTACCTTACCATGAACCCTTAGATGTAAAAAGATGGTAGCAGAGCACATAGTACCTTGCCAAATGGCATCCTAAAAAAAAAGTGATGGAGATTAGTGATTCCGTATTCTTATTGGTTGTAAGTAAAAATAATTGAAGCCTTGGCATGTTTCATTTTGGTTCACTCACTTTTTTTCAAAGACTTTTGAAGCTTTTGGTCAACCCCCTCTTGCTCTTGCGTTTGGGTTGAATTTGATTAGGTGCAAAATCCATTTTCATCATCACAATGCCTTCAATGATCAATACCATATATTCTTGAAATGAAGTGAAGTATTTGGCAATGTATTTTAGTTGTTTGTGCTTTTATTTACATCATTCTTGTAATCGTGATTAGTACACCAAGTCCAAGTGTCGAACTCCTCTTTAATACGTTTTTGGATATCTTGGTACCTTTCTTTTTGAATTCTTTCAGGGACCAATACCAATTATTCCTACTTTTTTCTTTAAAAGACCAGTAAGTATTATTAAATTTCAATAAAACCATTAATTCCTATTTTTTATTTTTGGATAAAAGTTTTAAAAAGCTCTCAATCTTCTGTATTTATACCTTAGATTAGAATTAAAATTTTGAAATTATAACTTTGTGCATAAATTGATTTTCTTTTGTAAACTGATCTCTTTTAGCCATTGAAACGTGTTTAATATTTTCTTCATAATTGAATTTTTTATCAATTAATTCCAGGTTTTATGGTTTATTCTTTCTCCTGATCTATTTCTTAGCTGGATTGTTGTAGTTCTTGTTTCTATTTCCCTGTTGTGCCTCTTGATTTGGGATTGTATCTGCTGGTGTTATGCTGCTGTTCTTCATTTTTATGTGGTTTTGGGCCTGAAGTGGACTTTATATGGGTTGGTGGTTTTTTGCTTCTTTTAGGTGGTGTTATTTACTTTTGTATTTTGTATATTGTAATTTCTGGATGTTCTTTGATTGGTTTGTGAATATGGGTGTTTAGTTGATCAACTAGTCAATGACTGGCTAGAAGACCAATTTAATTTGGAATTAATATGGAAAGCAACTTGTCAGGACTAGGCATATCAAACCAGCCCCATTCCAACTATGACTTGTTGATCAACTAACTGGATGCTCCTTTTCTTCTTGGAAGTTTCTTTTTTTTTATATATATATATTATATTTCTTATTAATTAGGAAGAAAATGAAACATTCTTGTGGAGAGGATTCCTATAGTAAATATACTAATCAGTTTGTGATTAATTTTAGTTTTCTATTTCGAGTTTGAACCACTTCTCGTTCAACTTTATAACAAGTTTTAGTTCTGAGATTAAAATCTCAAATTGGTTTTGGACAAAGCACAACCCAACCCTTAAAATCTCTATGGAGCTTTAACAATGGCGAATGACTACATCTGAGACCAGTTGCTCTTAAGCTTCGCGTCTGGATGAATTTATTTGTTAATATGAAGTCGATGTCCACTGACCTTTCAGTTTATAAATTAAAAAAAAAAATGTTTTAGTTCTGAGACTACACCATTTACAATTCAAGTATGAACCACTTTTAATTACTTTCAGTTGACACCACTTTTGGATTGAGTTTGCACCCTTTTTGATTCAGTTTGTTTACCAGTTTGACTTCAAATTTGTACCACTGTTGCTTAGTGATAATTCTTAATAATATTCTGTCTTTTCTATTTATACTTTCCCTTATCTTTAATGAGTTGATTTATTTTTCCTATTGGTGCTCTTATTTTCTATTTATATTTTTTTCTTTTCTGTAGCATATTTTGAAAACTTAGCTTTGGGTTTATTTTTTTGACATAGGCACTAATTGTATTTATTCATTGTTGGTTTTGCAGATTGTTGGATGAGCTCATACTATAAGAATTCAAACTCTTTTTGTTTAAGACGGTTTAAGTAGTTTATGTCCAGATCTTTCAACCCTTTTGTTTAGGATTCTATAGTACATTTTTGTCTAAGATCTCATAACATTCTATTTAGGATACTAGCTTGTTTTTATTCAGGAATTTTTATTTTTATTTTTATTTTTATTTTTGCGTGATGGGCTTTATTGTTTATGTTGTAAACAACACTTTTTTGGTTCGTGTGGCTTATGTAATATCAAGTATTTATTTATTTGCATAATCATTTTGATGTGTGATATATTTTTGATATTGTTTATAGTGTTAATAATTTATAGGTTGTAATATTATAATTGGTGTTATATTAATATGTTATTAATATATATAAATTCAAAAAAAAAAGTAATATATTGAAAAAATGAGTACATTTTCCACGAACAAATTCCGTGGCCTATTTTGGATACTTGTCACGACATATGTTTGTGGTCGATTAAAATTACAGCCATGAATAAATTTTGTGGCCTATTTTGGGTAGTTGCCATGACATATATTCGTGGATAATTATAATTATAGCCACGAATAAATTCCGTGGTCTATTTTGGGTATTTGCTACGACATATATTCGTGAGTAATTAAATTTATAGTCACGAAATTTTTTTTTGGGAAAAGACCTATTTTACCACGATAAATATTTTTGTGGCAAAATGATTGAATTAGCCACGATTAATTTTTATATCAAGATTGCCACCTGCCACGAAAGTGTTGTTATTTAGTAACGAAATAGCTTGTGGCAATAGAAGGTATTTTACCACGAGTTCAAATTTGTGGCAAAAGGTCCACATTTTGCCACGAAATTTTTTAGTCGTGGTTATTGGCATTCTGTGACGGGGCTACACCCATGACCGAGCCACGAACTATTTCTTGTGGCTAAAAGGCTTTTGCCACGAAATTTGAAAGTTTTTGCCATGAAGTGTCTTGTGGTAAAAACCCAAATTTGTTGTAGCGGCTATAAATTACTGAAAACTAGATTTATTCCTACCAACCAATATGACCCCTCTTATGTCGCTCGATAAGCTAACATTCCATAACTGCACTTGATCATGGAATGCAGATACCAAGTCATTTTTTTTTTTTTTTTTTTTTTTCTTAAGTAATAAATAAATAAAAAGGCGTTCAAAAGGGGAGCGCGTCCCTTATACAAAAGTGGAACCGGGGACTAAGGCCCTAAAAAATCCAAAAAACTAATTAAATCATTGGAAGAGGAGCAAGAACTCCTCTTCACATAATTGAAAAGAGAGCAAAAAATGAAAAGTTTCAGCGTCGCCGTAGACGACTCCTTCCCTTCGAACATTCTACTATTTATCTCCTTCCAGATGCACCACCAAACTCAATGTGGGACAATTCTCCAGTAATCACGTACATCTCTTCTCACATGACATCCTCTCCAAGCATGAATCAAATCCTTAGAAGAACGTGGCATTACCCAACGCATGCCAAACAGCCCAAGAATAAGATTCCAACAGTCGTGCGCCACCGGGCACAGTGCATGAGGATATGATCAACTGACTCACCATCTTGCTTGCATAGGCAACACTAATTAACAAAGCAATCCCCTCTTCCCCAAATTATCAATCGTTAGTATCTTACCCCATACAGTGGTCCAAACAAAGAATGCCACCCTAGTTGGAGCCATAGAACGCCAAATGGTCTTCCATGAAAAGTCACGGCCATCAAAATTAGAAAGACATAAGAACAAAGATCACACTTCGAAACGACCATGGGAAGAGGGAATCCATGTCAGATCGTCACTACCTCTGCCAACTCCTTCATGCCGATACAACTGATCCAGAAGAACACATACCTCGTCCAACTCTTAATCCTGAAAGGAACGCCGAAAGTGTACGTCCCACGTAATCCCACTATTATCAAGCTGATAATAGTCAGCTACGTAGGCGTGTCTATCAACTGCAATACTGTATAGTTTGGGAAATGTACGAGATAATGGCTGGCCACCACACCAAAGATCTTCCCGGAAATGAACACATCTACTGTCACGAACTTTGAATCTGATATGAGAAGAGAAGACATCCCATCCCTTCCGAATGAATTTCCACACCTCGACTCCTCCCACAAGAGAAACCGGACGGCTAGACAAATCGCCAAACTCTTTCCCAAACCGACATGAGACTAGCCTTCGCTAAGGATGATGTCTTTCCCTCCCATATCTCCACAACCATTTGCCCAGGAGAGCTTGGTTAAAAGGAACCAATCTTCTGATGCCAAGACCACCCAACTTCATAGGCTTGCAAACTTGCTCCCACTTGACAAGGTGATAACTCTTCTCCCCTTCCACCTCAAAGGAAATCCTTTTGAATTTTTTCAATCCTATCAGCAACGGAGCACGGAATTTGGAACATAGATAAAAAAATTTATGGGAAGGCTTGATAAAGTGCTCTTTACAAGAGTAACTTTACCCCTCTTAGACAAGTATTGCTTCTTCCATCCTGCCAATCTTTTCACATACTTGTCAATCATAGGATACCAACTCCCCGCTCTCCTAGAAGAAACCCCTAGGGGCAAACCCAAATAACTAATGAGAAAAGAACTCACTTTACACCCAAGGACTGCAGCTAAAGAAGAAATATCCTGAGGATAAGCACGCTCTTAGCTACATTGACTTTCAACCCGAAAACCGCCTGAAAACAATCCAGGATGCACCTCAAATATCTAAGTTGAGACACATCAACATCACAGAAAACCAGGGTATCGTTCGCAATAAGTAAATGAGAAATCTCCACCTGATGGACTAAATATCTTCCCACCCTAAAGCCCTTAATAAGACTAAGATCCTCTGCCCTTCGCATGAGTCTGCTTAAGCCCTCCATAACAATTAGAAAAAGGACAGACGACAAAGGGTCTCCTTGTCTTAAACCCCGAGTACACCCAAAAAAACCAGCGGGAGATCTGTTCACAAGAACTGAGAACTTGACAGACGAAAGACATGTCTCAATTCATTTCCTCCATCTACTTCCAAACCCCATTCTTTGTAACAAATATAGTAGGAAATTCCAATTCACATCATCGTACGCTTTCTCAATATCAAGTTTGCATAAAACTCCAAGAACACCACTTCGCAATCTGGAATCCACACATTCGCCTGCAATAAAAACTGAATCTAGAATTTGCCGTCCTCCGACAAAAGCATTTTGGGAATCTGAGATAATCCCATCCATTACTTCCCTCATCCTTAGAGCAAGCACCTTAGCCACGAGTTTGTAAATACAACCCATTAAGCTAATTGGTCTAAAATCCTTAATGTCAGAAGCGCCTCCCTTCTTAGGGATAAGGGCAATGAATGAGGCATTTAGCAACTTTTCAAGTCATTCTACTGATACCAAGTCATTATTTGAACCCAACATCGCAAAGTTACCTAATACCATCTCAATAGACAAGTTAAGCTTTGACGTTTATATATCTAAATAGTAGCAATGTAATTGCAAACGTAGGACAGTTATAACGTAGATAAGGTGTGGAAACAGTAGTTTTTGTTTTTGTTGTTGTTGCTGCTGTTGTTTTTTTTTTCTTCTTTAAAATGGAAAACAGTTGCAAGTTCTTCTGACCTGCATTATTTGTTGAGTTCCTCTCTCTCTCTTTCATAACATCTGTCTATCTATCTTTATAATCCCATCCATTACTTCCCTCATCCTTAGAGCAAGCACTTTAGCCACGAGTTTGTAAATACAACCCACTAAGCTAATTGGATTAAAATCCTTAATGTCAGAAGCGCCTCCCTTCTTAGGGATAAGGGCAATGAATGAGGCATTTAGCGACTTTTCAAGTCATTTTACTGATACCAAGTCATTATTTGAACCCAACATCGCAAAGTTACCTAATACCATCTCAATCGATAGGTTAAGTTTTGACGTTTACATATCTAAATAGTACCAATGTAATTGCAAACGTGGGACACGTATAACGTAGATAAGGTGTGGAAACAGTAGTTTTTGTTTTTGTTGTTGTTGTTGTTGTTTTTTTTTTTTTTTTTTTCCTCTTTAAAATGGAAAACAGTTGCAAGCTCTTCTAACCTGCATTATCTGTTGAGGTCCTCTCTCTCTCTTTCTCTACATCTGTCTATCTATCTTTATCCTTCTGTAAATTAAGAATTCGTACTTCCTGTGCTGGTGCTGTTTCTGCTCTGCTTTGCTTTGCATTTTGGAGAAATACATACTTCCAAAACGTTTCACTTATTTTGGACATCTTTGGTTTCATGTATGAGGCAACACCTTGATCCCTCTCCATCCAGTCTTGTGCCTAAAACCATTAGTCCACCTTCTGGTATGCATAATTTTTTCTTTTTTATTTCTGTTGGCTGGACTCAACTCTTGGCATGTCTAATAAGTATATTTGTTTGTTCCATATTGTTGCCTCGCCCTTTACAGGTTCAAAATTGCAAAAGGTTCCAGTGAATAAGATGGTACGGACTAACTCACTCTGATAAATTTCTGGGTGTGTTACCTAAGTATTCGTCTTTGTTGGACATGCATATATAGTTTTATAGATATATCAATCACATCAGGGAAAATATATAAATTCTACTTATGACAGTAACTTACAAAAATATCATCAACTAATTTTTTGTAACATATTTTCCAGATTTGGATTTTCAAGTCAATTACATCCTACTGCAAAAAACATTCTATAATCATGTAAAATTAAAATTCAGTAGTTTGCCTACATATATAGAACAGAAAACAAGAAAAAAGGAAGGGGAAAAATATTTAAATTGCTCTATGTGGTTGGCTTGGCAACTCGAAGCGACACAAGGGGCACATGTGACTCCTTTTGAGCCACTCCAAAATGCAAACTTGATGGTATGTATGAGAACATGGCATGCGACTCACTTCCGACCCAATAAACATATCATCCCTGCATATCGCACACACTTTCCCTCTATCATTATTCTCTTCAAATTTGATTGTCACCAATCCCTCGATAGATGATGTACTTGCAGGCATTAATCTATCATATCCCAAGTACTCTCGCATAGTCCGATCCATCAATGACAAAATCAAGTTTCTTTCATATCTTTCGTCCAACCAAGCTTTCTTTGGTGCAGTGTTCCTCACTCTCATTGCTATTTCTTTCTATATGCCATCAAAATCCATATTAGGTCATACCCTTACGATCCAGGAAACGAATTGGTGAAGTTCGAGCACACGTTTTTCCATCTCCTTTGCGCGGTCCATTACTTCGATATCCTGACTAGACAAAATCACTATTTTCTCAATGTTGATGTTCAAAACCAGTATTTT